ATTTACACACCCCTTAATGCTAAAATTTTAATCCAACCAAAGGAATGGTATCACTGAAATTAAATGCAAATTTCCAACTATGAAAAAAATAGCCAAAGTTCATTGTTTGAATACACGGCCAATCAGCTTGGCGATTGTTTCAAATTCTAACCAATCAGACCGATTTTTTATCTGATTAAACGCTAGGTAGCTTTTTATCAGCGATAAAAATGCGTGTAGGAATGCGTCAAATATACAGGGTGTTTAGAAATTCGCGCACACGGACTATGGGATGGTGTTATACGACAAAAACTGAACAAAAAATTCCTCTACCAGTTTTCCATCAGACCGCTATTTTTCGAGCTACCGCGGTTTTAAAAATTTCCGCCTCCCCTACGCTGCGCCACTGGTTAAACTTATTAATAACACATTGGTAAAAACAAAAGAAGGTTCAAAATAAACTATAATTATGACGAGTACCTAATTACAACAGTTGTTCAAAATGTCCGCCGTCTGCTAGTAAACAAGCTTCAGCACGTAGAAAAAAAACGTGCCGGTCTGATCAAAAACTGGTAGAGGAACTTTTTATTCAGTTTTTAATTTTATTTTTAATTCACTAAAATTTTGTTTCCTCCTGGAAAAAACTCTCGTTCAAAAGCACACGATAAAATCGCGACAGTTTTTTCCGTTGCAACAAAACTTTCGTGTAAAAATAAAATTATCCGATTAAAAATCAAACTCTTGTGTATTTACCCCCGATTATTATCGATAAATGCAATACAAATCTGGTTCACGCAAGTGATAGGTCGGTTCATTCAGGAATATTATGATTACGTTAAATTGATATGGGCTTTGCTTACGATTACAATTAATACTATCCTTCCTTGGAAAAGGCAGCATCAAGGTAGAAACATGAAGACAGATCCTTTCGTGCCGGCACAGCCTAACTTTTGGCACTGCCCGGGTGATATCAGCTTTTTGTTGAATGGAAACGTTAGAACAAAGTTGCCCGTATGAATTGCGAATACAAGCAAAATACCAAAAACTGTACCTACACTGGCTTTTTCATGATTATTAAAGTTACAGAGAAACCTAAGAAATGCTTTCGCAGATATACGATCAACATCAATTTGTACAGTGTTACGTTCGGAATTAAGCTGCTGCTAATCCTTCACAGCTACACGATCAAATTTTACGAACCAACTTGTACTGCGAGTGCCGGCTCTTTCGTTTCGTTGGCTATGACTTGACTAAGTCAAGTATTCGAGTTATTTGTTTTTTACACATAGACATCCGCACGATCAGAAGTCTCCCTCGTCGCAGCGGTTGTTAGAACTGGCAACCCCGACGAGTTTACGCTTATCTGCTGAGCACAGCCTGCGTTTTATTGGAAATGATCTGTATCTACAGACATACTTTCGTTCACGTTTACTATTAAGCGGTACATGTGTCCATTTCCCTATATTGAACCAAATCCAAATTCGAAAAAAATAATTTTTAAAAGTGCAAGGCGGATAATGGTACTGAATTTGTAAACAAGGACATCCAAAGATCAGAAGAACATGATTTGCGCCACCGATTATATATGCCACAACAAAATGGTGGTGCCGAGCTGCCGAGCGAGAAACATTAATAGAAGCTGTCATGACTATAGCTAAGCTTAAGAACTCGCACAAACATTTTGGGGTGAGGTTGTGATGGCAGCTGCGTGGGTGATTAACCGAAAAAGCAGCGCAACCTCTACCAGCAGTAGGATCTGTGGAATCAAGGTCAAGCTCATTCAAGACACTAAGGAATGAAGACTCGTTCAAGGAAAATGGAGGAAAACAACAGTGGAAACTCCGAGACAGGTCCAAATTGAAGGTGCCGAGGAAATTGAAGGACTATGCAGTAAGTGAAACCTCAGAATGCTACACCATGATAGCTTATGAAACTGAACCGTCTACGCACGTCGAATCCATTGAAGATTCTCAAACCAAAAAATGGAAAAATGTGTTACGTTCACTTTGGGCAAAAGTAACAAAATTACCTTGAGATAAGCACATGGTAAACTCTGGCAAAGTAGAGGTTGGTCTAGATGAATTTCGGGGTTCTTGCACACTAGCAAAAGTAAACAAATGGGAAATGCGAGGGGAAATGTAGTAACAGTAAATCGGATAGGCGTCTTTAGTCACTTTCAGAAGATAAGACAGAATACCTACCCAAAGGGGGAAACAAGGCAGACTAAGAGATCCTTGACCTGGCCTTGAAAAGCTAAAGGAATAAAATACTTGACAGGAATAGAACAATAATTGACGTCACAATTGAGGGTAATTTAATTAATGATCTCAAAAATATTACAAACAGGATAGGACATTGTAATATACATGTAGATCTATATGTCGATGTTGAAATATTAATATTGTAACGTGATTTATAAATTCGGGTTCGATTTATATCAATATTTATTAAACAAAACTAAAACACTATAAAAACTGTACAATTTATATCGACTATTTATATCACACACTTCGCAGTTTATATTTCCGCGCTCGATGTTTCATCCGTACTCGATCTCGTTCGGTAGTAAACTGCCTGCGATGTTCGGTCCGCAACCATTTATACGCGCAAGCAATGTAAGTCCAGAACACTCGCGTAATTACCAGATACGTCGCGAACATTCCCACTATCGCGCGCCTAGAAAATTCCAGAGCGCCAAAGGCGACGTCACGTCTGGAGCATTTCCGTTACAATATGAAAACAGGCTTCCTCAGAAAGCAAAATGAGCTATAATCGTTAAGTGAATATCAATCATATGTATTAATTACAATTCTATTGTAACGAAAACCAGTATGTAATTAAACATTGTATAGAGGAGTCCACGAAAAATAAAAATTACCTTTGAATTCTGGTCGTAGTGGCCGTCTGAATTCAGAAGGGCGCGTTCAGCCTTTCCTGTAACAGAAAACAACACCAACAAACAAATAAAAGGGATAGTGAATAGCGCGGCACATAAAATATTGCGTAAACAATGCTAACGTTTGACAAGGAGGCAATCAGATATAAAAACTGTAATTAATACTCTATCAGAATCAATAATTCGAATGAAGGAAATGCAAAATTTTGATCGGCCACAGATTACCTTTACAATTGTGTATAATAACAGCATAAACGTGACGTTAAATACAAGAAAACTACTTTACTATGCACAAATAACTACATTTTTATTGACAGCAATGTACTCTAAATAACTCAAAATTTAGACACTATAGTATGAAAAGGGGACTTGCGGTATATAGGAACTATATTATAGGAACTATCTTGAAATCTTCAGGTATAAACGTGAAGTCGGTAGTAATGTGGTAGATTCACATGGTTGATGTACGTAGATTTTCACAAATCGGTAATGTAGAAGCTACATCTATCGCGTGTCGCTCGCCACTGTCAATCTTCTTAAATTGGCTGGTCCAGGTAGAAGCTGCTATATCAATCCACGTACTGCGTAGGCAATGAGAACTATCCAGGTAAATCAGCGTAAAGGGAAAGGTACACTTGAGGGTGGAGTTTGAGTGAAGGTAAAAGCCTTAAAAAACGTATTAAGAAAAAATGCTGCGTAATAATGCAACATACCTCGTATTGTTTATATGCAAATACAGATCCGTAAAAACGATTTAATGGAGCACACAACAGACATCAAAAGAAAGAGAGAGAAACCACTCTAAAGATAATACGGTAAAACCAAAATAATAATTACTATATCAGGTAGATGCGAAAAGAAAAATTTGCATGTAACCAATGCGAAAGCAGAAACTTTACTGGGGCGGAAGAAGCATTGTATTGCAGTGTGAAAGGTAGGTTTGGTTATAAGGCTAAGGGGCCTATTCTATAACGCATAACGATGTTGTTCCATAGCGAATATCGTTCGGCAACGACATTCTCTATTCTGTATGACATATAACATATGACAGTGATACGGCATTTATCTGTCATTCAAGATCAAATCGTTATTATTACGATATCGTTTGTTAACGACAATATACAGAATAGACCCCTAAATACGTGAATTCAGTCTTTTACTCCAAGAGGCGGAGATCTGCGCTCGTAGATCGGCGCAAATCGTTCCCGCCAAGAGAGTTGTGCAGCTGAATAGTAAGTAAGCTGTGGAAGAAGTACAAGTGCGCGAGCAAGGTAAACTTTAAGAAGGGATAGACCCAAATGCAGAAAGGTACAAAGCGCGAACTCTAGCAACGAGACAAAGAAGTAAGGAAACGCAACCTCCAACAGTCGGACTGTCTCTAACGGAAAGAGAATGAATTAAAATAATAGAAACACTTGGAACAAATTTACTCAATGGTGAAACGACTTATTTAGTATGGGCAAAATAGCGTTTTCTATAGATAACCTGCAGAATAAGTTTAACGGGCCGAATGTGGGAATTTGGAATATTTATTTACATTATGCTTTCCAATTTCCACTCCATTCTCTCAGATTTATATTACCGCAACAAATTATTAATTCTATCGGTAGGTAGGCTCGGTAGAAATAGATTTCTGATTGGAATATCCATATGATAAGTTAAGGGTGATTAAATGCAAATCATCTGAACGATCTGATTTTGTTTTTATTTTCGTATAGTGAGTGTTCCAAACCAATAGAAGGCAAAGTTTCGAGTAGCGACTAATTAAATACTACCCTTACTGACTCGAGTTCGAGGCAAAATGCAAATGGTGTGAAAACAAAAGACGTTCATCTCTCTGTGAAATATGTAATTAATTTTGGTATAATAAAACACCTCAACTAATTCAGTTTGTAAATAAAAGTCATTGTGTACGTCGAAGGTCTGATTAAACGGTAGATTGTGGGCACAATTGCTGTATTGTTGCAATTTTAAGCAAATGACCTTCTCTATTTAAATTATCTCCATTTAAAAGTAATTGGAGATTATTGACCATGGTAGGATGCTTTTTTGACATCATTTCATCATGCAATTAGATTTATATCTAACTGACACATTTTGGTATTTTTAATAAATCTCTTTTCAGGTTTCATCAAAGTGGAAGATGGGAAATTAGTGTTCGGATCCTTCGAGGAACAATGGCAAGCTCTTCTCGCACATTACGCCGCATTAATTGCGGTTGCAGTTGTGCTAATAATCTTCGGTGTCTTGATGCCTATCTGTGGATTGTGTTTTTGCTGCTGTCGGTGCTGTGGAAAATGTGGGGCACGTTCGAAACCGTTCGATAAAAAGGGAGACCTTTGTAAGAAGATATGCCTAGCCACGGTCCTAATTGTTTTGGGGACCCTAATGCTGTAGGTATTCTTCAGTTTGTCAAGTTTTACGTATGTTCCCTTCTAGATTTGGGGTAGTTTGCGCGTTTGTCAGCAACCAAAACATGCAAGATGGCACCAACGACTTACCGAAAAATTTAAAAACCACAGTCGGAGATATCGACGTATACATACAGGCAACGGCGAACGAAATCTATGTTCTGCTCACTGTAAATTACAAGGAATTTGAAAATCTTCTCTTTGCCACGCTGGATAGTAAGGTGTCGAACGGCAGAAATGACTAATTGAAATTCAGATTGTAGCGCCATCGTTTCGGATCAGCTAGAGAAATATTCAAACGCGACCGCTCTAACAGAGGTCGTTACGATAGTGGACGGTTTGGCGGACATCAAATCGAATCTCACCTTTATGAAGATAGTCACAGCGGAAATGCGCACGAACGCCTCTGAACTTAACGACGGCAAGTTGTAACACAATTGTTTTTGACTGGTATTAATCTATGACTTCTTCAATTAGTGCTGAGAGGCGTGAAGAAGCGTTTGTTAGAAGCCCTCAAGAGATGCAATTCAGTATATGAGTGCAGTGATATGCTGTCAAATTACATCAATCAACTTGGTACTGACATCGATTTCAGTTCAGTAAGTATTTTGTTAGGATTACTCCAAAAATGTAATAAACGAAATTATTTTGCAATCAGTACTTGGATAGATATTTTCCAAAGGTAAGTAACAAATTTGTACTCGCCTATTTTTTGTCATACTGACAAATAAGCTTGAAACCAAACTAGTTGTAAATCAGCATTATGCATGATGAAAGCGCATTTTTGGTAATGCAGATCAGTATTTTATTAGCAAAGCTGAGATCTCAGTCGGACAGCCAGCCAGCTATAACGAATATAATAGTATTTTTTTTTTCAAAAATGCGCTAATAATTAAGTTGTTATACTGGTAGCGCTATCTAACGGAAAAATTATAGCACCTCCGAGAACCATATCGAAATTATTTTCTTAAATTATCGATCTCACAAGTAATGTAACTTAAAATAGACTAGAGATTGTAAATGCTGAGATCTCAGCCGTTACGGGATGTGCCTTTAGCACCTAGAAAGTCTATACGCCGAACTTTACCTCTGTGAGAAGAATAGGAGAGAGGACACTACCGCACCACGGCGTGTCCGAAGCTTCATTATCGGAAAATGATTCCGCGCGCGTACTTCACGAGGCGACTGTTCTGGACCAAGAAAAATTCAAAGAAGTGTGAACGGTTACAGATTACGGAAGTACCAATCCTATCTAGATGTCCCCCGCCCCTTCTACCTGTTTAGTTACATTTACAAGGGTCAAAGACCTCACTTGCATAAAATAAAATTGAACCTCTATGGCATTGGTAAAAAGTTTTAAATTTATCCACAGCTAGCTCAGTAATAAAAATGTTTTCTATACTTCTTACGTTATGGAAGTTTGCCTCCTTATCTCTTCTCAAAACCTCAAATTCAAAATCTAATGCTCTGGTTTGATTGAACTCGAATAAATACGCAGATGACTTTAGTTAATTCATGTACATGTACAGTAACACAAAAAAGGGGATCAATTTCTATTTTTCTTCACACGGCCTGGAATAGAAAATATTGGTTTGATTCCTAAAAAGAAATACAAAAAAATTCAGTGCCTCTCGTGATCACATGTCCATGCTAAATTTGATCCTTGTCTAAACTGTCAACGTTATCTTAATGCAAAGTTTGGTAGAAGAAAAGTTCGTATGAATCGCGAATCCAAGCAAACCGGTTTCAATTTCTCCAAAGTAATACTCGAAATCGTAATTATGCACATGAATAAAATACCAATGTTCCGCTGTGTTGCTATTAATTTTGCCCAATTTATTAACTAGATTTTGTTGCGGGCAAATGTCCCGATACGTTACCCAATGACGTCACTCAACGTTACGGAACGTGCTTTTAATCAGCTGTTACTGTTAACGATCCGAAAAAAACGCTTTGTTTATCACAAGGTCAGTTTATGCCGTTTTTTATCTGAAAAGGGGTTCTTCAATTCGAAAAAGTTCTTTCGCGTATATTTTACCACTCGAAAATGAAAGGCCTCGCTACGAATCAGGCGGCTCAAAAGTTTTTCTTTGTTCTGGAATTTGCTGTAATTCGTTTATTTCCACATTTTGGACTCGAAATTTTGGAGTCCTCGCTACTTAATGTCTTTACCTGAAATTAAAGTGCTAAGTGGTTCCCCAAATTACAACCGCAAATATTCACATACCTGAGAATATTTCTCGCAACGCCGTTAAAAAAATCGACCGCGAATCAATTTGTTCTCACACACCGGTATTTGTGCGTGGTCGCTCTTGAAGTTAAACCAAAACCATCCGTTTTTTACTTGGAATAAACCAAGAATAATTAGCGTACCCGAATTGGCACGACTCGCTCGCGAAAATCAGCTTAGAATCAAATTTTGAACGCATCCAAATGGTACTTGTCGACTCACGAAAATCAAGCAAAAAACATCACTCTTTCTGAACGTTTAACAAAATACAAATTAGACAAATAAAATTTTTGGACCGACAAAGCGCTCGTGGATATGATTTCCCCCCTCGGTGACGTCCCTCTGTCTTTTTTGACTTTAGGAAGTGTTATCAACAACTTGGCGTATTGTTCGGTCTGGGATAACTCTTAGTCTTTTTAGGGTCGGTTTTTATATAGTTCAGTGATCCCTTATGACTCATCCTTCACATCCAAATTCGCCTTTTGAGAGTAGTCAGTTGATAAAATTATGCAAAGATGCAAATAAAGACTCTTTCTTAAAGAAAATGCACGGTATACGAGGTTTCTTTCGAAAAGAGCTCAGAAAACTGGAGGACTGCCACTACAAAACTGTTGTATTTTGCATTTACACATACCATTTAGGTGTGCACTCCAGATGTAACGGGTGATCTTTCTAGCCGTTTTCAAAAATTTGGTTTTGAGTTTGTATTTTTGGTAAACAGAGAAATTTACACATGTACCGCTTCATAGTGAACATGAACGAAAGTACGTCTGCAAATAAAAAGCGATAACAACAAGGTGTGCATTTTGAGATAAGTATTGATAAGTGTTACCCGTTTCTATTTTGAGTGGAACAAGAACGCTGCTATTTAATCGCATCGTTAGAAACTCCTTGTGATAAATTGGTAACTAAGCGCGAGTTACCTGTACACTTCACGCTTAATTTAATGTTAAAATTGAAAGTTAGCCGAATTTATAGCAAGTGATAAAATTTACGCGAGGGAACATTTTTGAATTGGAGACGCGCTCTTCAAATAGAAACGGGATTAAATAACAACTCATTGTGATAAACAGAGAAGATTGTTTCGCATCGCTAACAGTAACGGTCGATTAAAAGCAAGTTTTATCAAAGTCGAGTGTCTCATTTGGGCAGCGCTTTGTGCGATAAATAACATTTTGTATAGCAACAGCGTTCGGCAGCAAATTTAAAGACAATTAATGGATGCATGTAGCCATAACAAAAAGTTTAATTAATTGGAAAAAAACTTAATAGCAAATTGGCATGTTAGGTACAGGGTGGCCAGCTAAGAATGCGAGGTACTGTATCTGGGAATCTATCCATCGTAGAGGCTTGTGGTAAAAAAATTTATTACTAAAACGGCCACGAGCAAAACCTGGAAAATATTTTTAAGTTTCTGAAATGACCACTAGGGGGCGTAACTGCAATCTCGAATCTAAAAAAGTTATGTTTCTGTGAATTCCGCTATATTAACCTAACAAAAAAATGTCCCGTCTTTGAAGTTGGCGATAATCTGAACAATTTTTGTTTGACAATTTTTCATGTATCTTTAAAAATGAAGTGGTGGGGGGTATTCAAAGGTTTCCGTAAAGAACACCCTGTATCTTCGAAACGGCTGAGCCGATTTAAACAAACTCGGGTTAGTTCAAAAGAGCTATTCTTCAGCTACAAATTGTATACTATTTGAAGTTTTATTAGTTTCACGTATCACCGCTTGAGGGGTTTTTACGACATTCCGACAGAAATGATTAATTTTCTCAAAAAAAATTTTTTTCCATGAAAAAGTAGCTAAATGATGCCTAAGCAAGCTCGCGAAAACCGCATCTCGATATCTTGAGATATATATACCGGGTGTCGGGTGAATACTTTCAAACCAAACATAGGGAATTAACATGGGAAAACAGTTTTTCGCAGATTGTTGCTCCCCAAATTAACTTAGAGAGTTCATAATGCCACCATTGGAAAGAAGATTTTTTTCCGCGCTTTATGATATGCAAATTATTAACGTCTAGTTGCACGTTTAATTATTATTTTGCGAAATAGTTAGTCAAAATGTGTACTTGGTTTAAAAAATCACGGTAGTCATGAAAACAAGGTACGATAACTGTCAATAATTTTAATTTGTACTTGCTACACACGAAATTATATAATTTATAAGTTCGTGTTACTACAAAACTTACGATGTATTCCATTGGGGTCATTGGGGAAAAAATGTTTATTCTAAAAAACGTTTACGGCGGTAATAGTTACCGCAGAGTGCGAGATTTATTTTCCGTGGAATTTAATCAAACCTCTATTCCGTCAATATCGACAATACGAAAGATAGTTTTTAAATTTGACAATTCCGGATGCTTAAATCTACGGGTCATGGCTACATGATTTTCTGAGTTCATTTTATTTTTCGAATTTTAGATAAAATAATGAGAAAATACAAATAAAACTTAACTAACTCGCATTTAGTTAGATGAGAAAAAATCTTCCTTCCAGTGGTGCCATTATGAACCCTGTAAGTTAATTTGGGGAGCAACAAGCTGCGAAAAACTGTTTTCCCATGTTAATTCCCTATGTTCGGCTTAAAAGTATTCACCCGGTATATCGTGATGCATTTACGGCAGCATTAAAAGCTTTCTTTTTTAAATCGATCCGCCTTAGGGCCGCAAATTATATAATAAAAATAATTTTGGAAAAATTAGCTTAAAAAAATAAAATTTTGAGGGTATAAAATTTTCTTTGCCCTAAATTTTAGGTTAGGAACAAGATATCGAGATCGAGCTTGTTTAGGCATCCTGTAGCTACTTTTTCATGAAAAAAAAATCGAACCAGTGCATTTAATTTTTTTGAGAAAATTACCCATTTCTGTCAGAATGTCGAAAAAAGCCCTCAAGCGACAGTATGCGAAACTAACAAAACTTCAAATATAATATTTGTAGGCGAATAACGAATAACTCTTACTTACATAAGTAATCACGATCTAGAGAATCACATTAGCGAAAAGTTTCCAAACAAAATGTTTCCAACTCGCGATTTATTAGGAAAAAGATATCGGCTGATCTCTTCCAAACACTTCTTTAGGAAGTTGTTTGTCTCCTACATTATAAAGTATTCACAATTTTTATTTGTTGAAATTTTTGAATTTTCGGGAATTTAATACGTTGAGCTTTTCGTAACTTCTGTAGTGTTCATTAAATTTTTAATCTTTTGTACTTTTAAAACTACTTAGAAGATGATTTTTATAAGCTTGTTAGTTGCACTATTTAAAGCTGTTGGATGCACTAAAAAATGTCAATATTCTAAAATAAATTTAACTACGTGATTTATTTATTAACAATGAATGTTTCACTGTGTTTAAATAGATTGATTTATAACAATTCATTATTATTTATCACTTACTTAATATACTGAAATTTATTACATGCCTGAATTACTGCTCATCAATTCGGCGTCGGTATTGGAACTTCCATTACAGACGATTCAATTTGCTTACATAGCAAACGGAAAGTTGTTAGAAAATTACTGAACACTTGCGAGGTTGGCATATGGCATTTTATAGAAAGAATGCGTCAAGTCCGCTGTCGTTCCTTGGCTTGACTTGATGGCGACTACATAATTTTCTAATCGCTCTTTGCATAGACACAAGCTGATTAGGATAAGCTACTGTAAAATCGATGACAACGATTAAATAGATATCATATATTTTAAGCTAAGCTCGGTTTAAAGTTATCTGAAATTTGACCTTGAGTTCAAGGTTGCCTCTTTTCTGACCTTCCTCAAGGTGCAGTTCAAAGGTCATAAGCGACCTTGATCTAGTGTACGGTTGATAGAATCTACATTTCATATTTTTTCAACAGTTACCCGATATCTCACTGGAGATCGACAAATTGAACACAGTCTTACATTCGGACATAGCCGGCGCCCTACAAAAAGGCCAACAGGATCTGGACAACATTCAAGTGGAAATAAATAAAACGATCAGTTCGCAAATACCCAAGGTGAAAAAGTCGATAATGACGGCGGGGGAGGAGATCATCGCGGGCGGCTCGAACGTCACGTCGCTCCTGTGGAAGGTAAGGCAGGCGCTGGAGGATTACGCGGAGAGACCGTTGGAGCATCTGGGAGGTTATTTGGGAAAATATTCGCCGTACCGTTACTATCTGGGATTGGGGGTCAGTTGCCTTTTGCTTTTGATTACGCTGTGTGTTACGCTCGGACTGATCTGTGGAATCTGCGGAAAGAGGCCCGATGCTTACAGCGACGATTGCTGCAATAAGGGGGCAGGCAGTCGATTCTTAATGATGTAAGTCCTTAGTAACTCACCCGGACATAGTGTAAATTGTATTTTTTGCAGTGGAGTTGGAATAATGTTCCTGTTTGCGATAGTCTTAGTAGCTGTGACGATAGTACATTTCTTCTTAGGAATTTTAGCGCAAAGATTAGTATGCGACTCAATCCGAGAGCCTAATAATAGTCAGGTTATAAAGTTGTTTGATGAGGTTATGAATTTGAAGAGCAGCGTTGGCGTAGACGTCGATATCACTTCGCTACTGAACGCGTGTTATAAAAATAAGAGCCTATACAACGTGTTGCAACTCGAAAAGAGCTTTGATATTAACGAAGTGATCACGTATTTGGACAAATTCGAAATCAACAAGACGCTCGCCGACTTAACCCATCACATTAACGCGAATACTGACATTGATATACTAAGCGCGGATGCGGAGAACCGTTTGAGGGAGTTGGTTTCCTCCGGTATAGCCGATATTAGTTACGATAAATTTATTGACGAGTTTGCCATTAATTTTACATCGGTGGATTTGGATTTCTTAGCTAGCAAATTAGACGAATTAACAGAGATTGTTAAAAATAAAGTGCCAAATGAACCCGAGATACCGAGACAGTTAATAGATTCTGCGAGAAAATTACGTACATATCAGCAAAAGTATGTCGTGCCAATGACCGTGAAGGCGAGGGAGGCGAGCGTGAGTTGGGTGCCTGAGATGGTGCGCTTGTTAAAATTTATTTTCTTTAGGCGATCGCGCAAAACTTGAAGGAAAGCCTTAAGTTTGGAAAAGAATCTTTCGAAGTTGCCATAAATACTTTAATTGAAGAGCTGGAGGCCGCAGAGGAATATCTTAGCGTTAAGGGACCAAGCACTATGACAGAGGTTAGTGTTTTGCCCATCCATTCTCGCAGTTTGATAAGTGTATTTGTAGATTGCACGGAATTTTGCGTATGGAATTGAAAAACAAGTACGGATTTACTTGTACCGAGTAATTAACAACACCAAAGGTTCCATGGGTCAGTGTGGTCCGTTGAGTGCCGGGTTGAATTTTACATTGGTTGCCACTTGTGATAAAATTTTACTGCCATGGGTAAGTCTTAGGAAGTATAATGTGTTGTGGAGTACTATTTATGATTCACTTACAGAATGGTTTCTGGTTCAGCTTAATGTGGTGCCTAGTGTTGTTTATACCGACAATAATATTTTCGGTAAAATTGGCAACGCTGTATCAAAAGTACGAACCGTATCCGGGACCACTAGTTGAGGCGTAAGTGACCTTTTGCGTTATAAACGTTTTGCTTGTGCATGATCTGCTTATGTTTTCTAACTGTGCTTTAATATTTTATTTGGCGAGTACACTCTTTTCGCAGTAAATGTTGTATAGGTGAAATTTTCAGCACAGAATGAGGAGGGGTTTAACAATATTGATTTTGCTGTGAATGTTGCTCTGCTTATCTACCTACTAATTTAGCAGATCGCTTTGATATGCATTTTCATATTTTGTAGGAAAATCATCACAATTTAAATTTATTGTGCCATCACTCATACAGATTTTAAATGTTGTTAAGTATTTCTAATGACACTAGTCAATTCAGTTAAAATACATGTGTAGTAGAATTTTCCTTAGTTTGCGCGCACGTCATCGGTGTATTATGACGTCATCACTAAGTACGTTTACATAGCATCATGCAATCAATGGAAGAGAATACATATAAACTTGAAATCACGAATCTTTGTCCCTGCGTCATTGATTTGTGAATCAATTTCAGACATACGCTAAAACACTGTAATATCTGTCAAGTATGCGAAATCGATAAAAAACTTGTCTGAAATTGATTCACAAATCAATGACGCAGGGACAAAGATTCGTGATTTCAAGTATATGTAGGCAGCCAAAGAGACAGTGCTGCATTGTGGCTAGGATACCCATCACGTCATCGACCTCTATTGATCAATTACTAAACAAATTTTCGGTAATTGTCTTATCATGATGAAGGTGGACATTATTTGAACATAGAGGAAAAACTTATAAAAAATTTTAATTGTTTTTTCGTAATAACAACGCCCCCGTAGCACTTAGCAGGTGAAGTCGAGAAGCGACTACAATCTTGACTTACCTCTTACTCATGAGCAGTGCCACCTGTACAAGGTGAGTCAACGATTGCGCGGAGTAACTGAATTTTCGATAGAGTGCTTTTGTATTATATGGTTGACTATTGCCCTCAGAAAATGTGAACCAATCATATTAATGCATATTACAGAAATCACCTAGCAACAGACAAATATCCTCGAGTATTCATGCACTTGTGCAATACCCGCGGGTATTGCTTATGTGTAAATCCCTAAAATGAAACTTAAATAAATAATTCCAAATTTTATTAACGAAAATTACAATTTGTAAAATGGCAATTTGTAACTGAACCCATGCTTATTTTCGGTTTCATGATGCTTTTGAAAAACCATGTCTTTGAAAGGATCGAAACAAACATTATATTCTTCTTATCTTGCAAAATTTTTGTCGGGCAATAGTCATCCCGTATATCCCTCGTGCACGCCAAATACCAGATCTGAGTATTTCGCGAGTGCACGAAATATTCAGGTATTTGGCGTGCACTTGGGATATAATACTTGAATATTCTCCACATTTTAAAAATATTTGGAATTATACAGGATGCGCCCACAAAGTAAGGCGCCCAAATGGTACATTTTTTAAATAGAACTCCCTGTATTTGAATGCATTTTTGAATTCTACGTGTAATTGTACGTCTTTTTTATTATATGGTTAATATCCGAAAAACTAGTAGTTTTAAAGATAATTCGATTTGTAAGAAAAATTGGGCATTTGCAAGCGTCAGTATACTGTCAAAATTATTACTGAAATTTTGATTCCAGGTTTTATATCTTTTATCTTGGGTTAAGTAAAAGTCAAATAAATACATCTACAATGAAACATTAAAAAATAGCTTACAGGGTGTTTTTTGTAGATCTAAAGTTACAAAACTTCATATTAAAAAATCTCACTTTTTTTTAATGGAACACCCTGTATATTTTTCTGTCATCTTTCAGCTCCTCCAAAAACCTTCAACTTTTGATAATAATGTCCTATACCTATCTCTGATATTTTTCAAAATATCTTGGTTTTTCTGGTTTTTATATTCTAATCTTAAATAAGTTATATGTAATTTACATAATAGTGAGGTGGCCATGCAAAAAAAGGCAATTTTTATCTATCTCGTCCAAAACGAAAATTATATCGATTAATTTATTTTTCAAACAATTTTATTTTAAGTCCAAAAACTGGAGAATAAGTAAAAACCTTTGATTACAAAGCAAATTTAATTTACTCCTAATGTCATCCAGTCAGTGATATTAGTTTCATTTTTTTTATATTCACCTAGTTACTGCCTTTTTTTGCATGGCCACCTCGTTATTATGTAAATTACATACAGTGTGTCCCCGGATGGACTGAACAAGAGGGAAACAATTTTTAATTTTAACTACGCAAAAATGAAAACCACCTATTCTGAAATAAAAATCTAGATATTCCTTTTCGCAGCTGAGAAAATCACAAAAAACGCAAAATCTACAGCGGAAATTGTTGCATATTTTTGATTAAATCAGACTGTCATTGTATCTTCCATGGTAACCTGATAAGCAAATCAAGTTAAAAAAGACACGTTAGAGCTCTTAAGAAAAACATTTTATTTTATATTTATGACATTTTTGCGTAAAGAAATTAAAAATTTTTTCCCTCTTGTTCAGTCCATCCGGGGACACACTGTATAACTTGTTTAAGATTAGAATAAAAAAAGTGAGATTTTTTAATGACATTTTGCAACTTTGGACGTACCAAAAAAACACCCTGTAAGCTATTTTTTTAATGTCTCATAGTAGATGTCTTTATTTGACTTTTACTTAACCCAGGATAAAAGGTAGAAAACCATTTAATAAAAAAAACGTACAATTACACGTAGAATTCAAAAATGCATTCAAATATAGGGGGTTCTATTTAAAAAAAATGTACCATTTTGGCGCACTACTTTGTGGCGCACCCTGTATAATTCCAAATATCTTTAAAATGTGGAGAATATTCAACCGTATCATAATACAAAAGTACTCTATCGAAAAATCTTATCTTCAAGGCATTAAGTTACTCCGCGCAATCGTTGCCTCACCCTGTACTTTGATGTGAAAACGACGGCACTTTTTACGTACACATTCATTTGTTTTATTTTGATGTAGGATAGTTATTGATGCAATTATAATAAATTTCATCGAAAAAATCAAATGAGCCCAATGAAAAGGTGCACTGTCATCTAAAAAAATTCAATTGTTTTTCGTTACTCATGTGTTTGCTAAAATAAAAACAACTGAATGCTGCCTTATTATTGGAAATAAAATGTTACATAACTTTGATATACAGTTTTTATTTACTGAGAGATATACTATATTCCATACATAATGGGCACACTTTATATTACGGACATAATCAGGGAAACCTTCTTCGGAATAAAAACCCTGGTAAGGTCCACACAAATAAATACACGAACTAAATTAACGAAGACAACAAAAGCAAAAGAAAATCCACAAAACATTTCAAATTGTGTAACAATAAAAGTCAGGTCACGAATTTCAAGATTCTAGGAATGTCATATTTTTTCCAGGAACATCAATGTGTACCTATTGTTCCAGCTGGTTGTTGAGCTTCGCCCTAAATTGTTCGCAGATCTCCCTGTTTTCGTCCTGGTAAAAATTGAACCACAGCCTTTTATCAAAGGCGCCATCTCTCCACGAATTTTAAAGCATCGCAGGCGCCGCTCACCAGCCATTTTGTTGACTTCAAATCTTGAGGTAAATAAACTGGAAAACATTAATCTGAATCATCAATTACAAAAATATCTTCATCTGAATCTTCCAAATTTATTCTCTCTACTGTCCTTGTTCATTTCGCCAATGGTAATCTGGATCATTTGTTTTTGAAACAAAAATTAAAGATGCTCCAGTAATAAAACCAATTATGTTTCCGGCATGTAAAACCACATTGTCGACCTGTGTGGGGCAGTGGTGTGCGTTACTAAGAGGTTCAAATCCGGGTTCAGGCTGGGGTTGGCAGAGGAGCTGGCTGAAACCCCGCCCACTTAAAAACAATCTTAAATAGTTATAAGATACCAGTATGTTACCTCCAAAGAGTCTTACAAAAATGAACAGAGCAGAGGGTAGAGACTGTTCTTTGAAGGGTTGCACAGAGACGGCAAAGGAGATCTTTCTTAGTTCAATCCATGTTAGACAAAGACGACTTTCAAAGCACATCTGGAAAAAATAGAGAACAAAGCCACAAGGGTTCTGTGGTCATGCAGGCGAGCGTTCGGGAGCAAGTCGGATCTCTCTCCAAAAATGGCCCATTGGATATACACTAAAATGATTATACCAGTCATTACGTATGCGTCACTGGTGTGGTGCAATATTCGATACTCCATTAAACCTTTTCTTGAATTGTCTTTTTGATAGCGGAAACCAATCTTTGCAACAACTGTTCTTAAGGAACTTTTGAACCCATTAAATGCGTCTTTCTCTTCTAGAACGTGCAAAAGGGATTGAAGTGTAAGATGTTGTTCTAAAATTCAAACGTAAACTGCTTACAATATCTACACAATTTAATATGGATATAGATCATGTTGTACATTGAATTCCGAATCGCTGGTGTGTGAAACCATCACCATCGCTAATGGGTTCCTTACATTTCCTTGGTTTGCAGGACTTTCTAGACCATTATCTCATTTTCATTTAAAATAACAAAATTAGCTTACTTTTTCTTGGTAAACTCGATGATACTTTTGGCGCAAAATATCCCAGTGAGACTTACGGAAATTATGCTCGTATAATTGTTCGTTATGAAACTAGCAGATTTTTTTTGGGGTAATGTAATGTAATCAAAACGGTAGCAAACAGTTGTCAAATTTGATGTCGCAATGTAAACGTAAACTATGTCAATTCCGGTTGACAGGTAACCCGAAGGGAAAAATATGTTGGCATTAATATTCCCCAAAAACAGAATTGATGACGTGTGCGCAAACTAAGGAAAATCCTTTTTCCTTTATTGAAAAATTTCACCTATACTCTTAATTAATATTTGTCGCATTTGGGGTGTTGCTATGTAAACAATTTACACATTTAAATATACAGAGGAAGTAAGATACTGAATACAAAAAGGAGCGTTAGTATCACAACTAATACGATTTGTAGTGTCTACTTGTAGGAGATGTGTTAGGAATGTAGAAAAATGGACCTGTTCAATTGAAAATTAGTGAAAGTAGTGGGGGAAACAGAAATAGATGAGTTTTTTCTAGTAAAGGTAACGTTAGAGCAGTTATTTTAAATAAATAAAAATTATGGTGTATTTTATTTTTGCGTCCTAAACATCTGTCTATTATTTCAGGTAAGTTTTTGATCATAGGCGATAACTGCTTCTGATTGGTGAAAACATTGTGCCTGTTCCATGGGCGTGAATCAGTTCGTTGACCAATGTATTTTTTTAAATAGACTTTTAAAGTGTAAAGTTCTTTTGATGTAACGAAAAACGCACTTGACCGCTGACCAGCGAATTTTTCCTGGACTTTTGTTAAACTTCGACAAAGCTGCAATTTTCTCTTGATAAGGTATTTCGTTCGTCTCATTAATTTCTTCTTTGAAAAACTCTGACAATACAATCCAAAAGAATGTCGGTAATACTTGCAGTTAAAATAGGAACATTAAGTAAATGTCTAAAATGTTGTAGATAATAATTATTTGCATGCACTTGTAACTTTCAAAATGCAATTTTATCGAATTTGACTGAAAAAACTTGACTTGACTCAAAACACTTAACTTCACAAACACCGACCACATAAACTTCAAAAACTGTATTTAAAACGTCAAATTGCGGTGAATGAACTGAATACTTTTCATGAGCCGTAAACAGTAGAAAAGTCACTCTTTTTTGTTGCTTTTTAGAAAGTTTTAAGTAGATGAAAAATAACTACGTTTAAGTGGAAATACTGCTGATTAACATATCGCTGTGTGCAGTGCAATGCATGCGGTCACTACACCCCCCACCGCCGGCCGGCCCGTGTGGCGCAGTTCAGTTAAAGCTGAACTGTGGTGCTAAGGGTCCCCAGTTCGAATTCAGGTTTGGGCATGGATATTTGTACATCTATAGTGGGTTGGGTTGGTAGAGCAGCCTTGGCTGAAATCCCGCCCACTCAAACATAAAGGCAAAATAAAATAAACAAAAAACATCTGTCTAGCTAGCTAAAAAAAATCAAAATTGAAACTGAGAATTCTACAGTCTATATTGACTTAAAATTTCTCAATTTGAGAAACTCCACGGCCTTGATGAACTGAAAATTTTAAAGAATTTATTACACAAATTTTGAGTATCAACTGAAATAAGCCTTGGGCACGAATAGAAAAATCTGACATGAAAACTTGTATCTGAGTCGCACTTTGGATTCGAATACACACAATTAATTGATTGACAATGACGAGATTTATTCCGAAACACATGAAACTATTTAAAAAAAAGGTTTACAGAGCCTATTGGAACATATTACCCCGCACGCAAGCGATCGACAATTGAAATAAAAATCTTGGACGCATGGTATAGTTTCACGTCTAGATAGCGCACGTGTTTCAAACTACCATACTTTTCGACACCACTTGCTAATGCAAGTTTTGTGAGGAACGGTACCTAGACCTCTTTGTAAATCCTCTGCTTGAATCTGATTCTCAATCGCATGGCTTTTCTTGTAATTTTTGTGAAGGTGGCGGATAATAGTTCTAGTTTCCTGTGTAATTTCATTATTTACAAGAATTGCACTCCATAGGTTGCTGCCGGTGGATAGGCGATAATGAGGATCATCATTCGAAGCTTTGTTATGTACATAAATATTAATGTAGCTATTGGAAGGGTAGTAAAACGTTCGGAAAACATGTGTGTTTGGCTTGATTTTGAATTTCCCAGTGAATTAGCTTTTCAGCGTCTAAGACATATTTGATATTGGGTTTAGTCATCATTGTGCCGTTCTCACAATTGTTCAGTTTTGCGTTTTAATTTGTTTATTTTATTTTGTTGATAGATTTTGCTTTGTAAACGTTTGTCTCATGTTATCTCCGATTATTGCGATAAGAGCGCGATCGCTGCGTAGGCCAATTAGTTTCAAGATAAGCACGTGTTATCGCAGATGTTTTTTCGCCGTAGTGAACACAGGTGTTTAATTTATTCAAAGACGCAGTTGGTAGGGGGACAGAAAGGAAATTGTTTTTAAATAGAAGAGACGAACATTAATTATCGCTTGTTTGGTGGTGACGTTAATAGTTGTGTTTCTTGTGACTGTTTAAATATACCCGCTTATTGTTTTGGTGATTGGCAGATTTGAGCGTATTATTGGAAAGACCGAGGGGAAGACAGTCAGTCTACTTTAATTGTAAAATTTTGTAGAAGAAAGTTACTTGTGTCGAATTAAAGAAGTGAAGCATTTTAATTTTATCTAATTTGAGAAAACTCACAAAAATGAGCTGATCCAATTTAGACGACACTGGGTTCGTTGTAATTACTGATATAAAAATGGCTCTTTGATAACGGGTACTAAAAAAAGCTTTGCATAAGTGATAATAAACGTTCGAACGACAACACTCAAAATGAACGTCTTGCAACAAATTACGCTGAATGCGATACACCAAAACCGTATGTTGTGGTACATATGGTAGCTGATATGCATCACAGCACCATTAGCAGTAAAATCAACACGGCGTTTTCCCCTGCGCTGTGTGAAAAATCATTCCCCTGGTCGAACAGGGCTTTATAAGGTAATGCGCATGTGCCAGAATTCATTTTACTGCGAGCTGACCTATAGTGGTGCATCAACTACGACTACGCGAATAATGGAGATATTCGCCTGTGCCGAACCTATTTAGCCCGCTCCCATCATCGCCACAGAGTAAGCGACAATGGAGGTGCATAATTGCCTACTTGTCAACAGGTCACAGCCGTCGCTGTGCCTCCATCTCCAAAAAAGCAACGGTTTATGTCCGTTTCCGCTATTTAAAACAATTTTCATTTTTAACTTTCCGAGCCATCTCCGAATCAAATAAAAATCTACCTTTTTTAACGGCGAAACCCGCTTATCTACATACTTAATTGGCTCAGCGGTAACGGGACTTCTTATCGCAACGACCGGAGATAACACAACAGAATAAACTTAATCTTTTAACACGTATTTCGTTACAATTAAATAAACAAAATACAAGCGATTATTTAAACAAAATTAAAAACATGAAATAATTTAAACAAAATCACATCGGCTTCAAATTAAAATACAATGATCGAAATCCCTGCGCCAAATGATTAAACGAACGTTTGATAACAAAATATGGGGTCAAATTACGTGATGTAGTTTAATAGGTTCATTCACCTTCAGAATATTACGTTGGTTTATTCTGGCGCGTTTAAAATAATTACGCTACTTATCGCAATAGTTGTCGACAGGTCTGTTTATCAGAAATAGGTCAAGAAATGAACCTGATTCTGTTAAATGGACCTATTTGTACTGAACAGAGCTCTTTCTATGGAACAGACAGACTTGTTTCTGCTCAACCAACCTGTATCCGATAAACAGGCCTGTTTCTGTTGGCAAGCGAAACCGATTCTAATGACCTTGAAATAGGCTCTCAAGGTCATGGGTTGAAACCTATATATTTCAGAATAAACTTTAAAATTAATTAAATACATATGAATATTCTTCACTAAAGGCTGGTGATCCCGTCACCCCAACAAGTGCCATATTAAAAGGAGACATCATTAACCCCACAACCATCCTCTGTATATTTTATTTTGTAAATTGTCTGCAACCGTTTCACGCACAAAATGTGTCCCCGTAGCACATCCCAACTCCAACTTGTGTTTGCTTATAGAGTTTTGTAACTGTAAATAGTCTTGTGTAAAGCGAATTTCATTTTTAACTGACTGTGTTGTGTAATTCGTTGCAGCGAATATTTGTATGATGCATATGCCGATCGGGATAACATTCCCCTTAATAGGTAAGTGCATTTAGTGTTCTAAATTGTCGCACGTCTCCGGTTGTCTAGCTTAGTTTGTTTGGTTACGTAGCGAATGAGGCTTTACGAATAAATAGGAAAACAAAGATTGATGTATACATGTGCGTGTCTGTATATACACGAAATTGCAACTTGTATTATGAGAAATCGTCTTCCACCTCCTATTGTTGCAGAGCGAACCAAGGTAACCGATAATCTCCACCCGCTAAATTGTTGTATTGTACTTCTGTTGATTATTACGCAGCAATTAGGTAACACGTTTGTCTAATGTAATTCTAAATGTTGATCTAAGTGTACCTATATTTGTATCTCAAAATGTTGTCTTAATAAAAAAAATTAAAGTGATTTCTTTGCAATGCAAATTATTACTCCAGTCTGAAATGTAACAGGTGAGTTTAACATTTTATTTCTTTATTCGTCTTGCTATTTAGATAATCTTTCGAGTCAGTTTTGCTACCTTCCCCAATGCTATACTGTTGAGATCTCGAAAATGTGGGAAATCATTTTTTTTTGTCAACAATTGGGAGGTGGAAAATTTAACAATTTCTAACAAATTTATAAGTGCATGATAATAAAAGGCAGGATTAACTTTTTGGTTTTATAAGGTATGCACATTTTGTTTTAAGTAATACTGTATTGCGGATATCTCCGTCTCTTTCAGTAGTGGCAATAACAAACGCTCAAAAGTGAAGAGCAAGAAGAAACAGAAGCGTTACGAGAGGGGGGCGTTCGGTCCCGATGCGTCGGGCGATGGTGTCACACGAGATATGCCTGGAGGATCTCATTATCAAGATGCTCGATATGCTGATATGGCTCCCAAGTGAGTGTGACAATACTGTTAAAATATTACAAGACAACTTACTTTTATTATATTTATTATTCTCCAAACTACAAGGGCTAAATAAGAAAAACAATTGAGTTTTATAATGGAATCGTTAATCGGGCTGCCTGCGGTGGTCCTAAAAATCTGTAATTGGTCTTAGGATATAAAAGGAACCACAAATGTTTATTAAATTTCTAAAAGCGATCGATTTCGGGTTTTCTATCTACCCATCATCAGGCCATGCTAATGGGTAGATAGAAAACCCGAAATCGATCGCCTTTTAGAAATTTAATAAACATTTGTGGTTCCTTTTATATCCTAAGAATTTACAACGAACCCAAAATAATGGAGAACTACATTACATATACTGTAATTGGTCTTTAAAATTCAAATTAATTAAGAGCGCTTCTTTTGAGACAACTCAGGATTTAATCGGATATTGTTCCCTGCAACTCATTAATTAGCTACTGTTATTTCTACTCATTTAAATGTGCGAAATGAAAAAGGTATCTTATCAAACTGATACCGATGTTCATTCAGAACAGATTTAAAGCGCTTTCCAAAAGTAAGGAAGTATTCACGTTTAAGAATAACAAGGAAATGTGTGTGTATATCAGGAAGTAAACTGCAAACGATAGTAAACCCAATATTAAGTACATTGTCGTATTCAGCATTTCCTGCATAGGTTAAGGAAAAAATGCATCAATTGCAGCATTAGGATTGTAAGGCTTAATGTACACTATCCGGCTCGAAGCACCAAATGTAGCGTTAGGGTCGTAAATCCTAACGTACACCCAAGCAAACCTATACAAAGTAAATTCGGTTAGGTACGTTGACTGGTATACACATTTACTTGTTGATCAGCATTTCCTTGTTATTCTTAAACGTTATACTTCCTTACGTTTGAAAGGGCGCTTTAAATCTGTTCTAAATGAAAATCTTGGCCCGTAAACAGGAAAGGAGGTCGTTGTGAGTCTGTCCTAAGGTGAACAACCGGCGTAAATATGCATGGCCTTTCAGCTCGCTTTAAATTACCATAGGAAACTAACACCGGCTAATGATGACTTAACAGAACCGAAATTCTAAAATATTAATTCGCCAGCTTTTGGACGCAACAAAGATAATTGAAATATCTTGACGGGAACGGTTGCAAACGGCGAATTTATTTCAACCTTATGTTTACGATAGCAGCGCCGTAAACGCAACTCTGGAAATTAAACCAATTACCTTTAGCTTCTACTTTTAACTCCTAGAACAACACAAATTCTTTCGGCGCGACAATTTTTGCAACGAAGCGCCTCTAGATACTGGGCGTTCACTTACAATTATCACTAAAACCGGTAAATGTCAAGGCGGAAAACGGGTACTCCGTTGCAACACAACAATGGTTCGATTTAGATAAAACAACCCGTAAAATGATAAATTGGATGCACCGAAAGAATATCAAAATGGACATGACTACGCCAGCATCGTCTACGGTTCATTTTTAACACGAAAAAGTGCAGGTCCTACTTTCTCTTCACAGTTCGTCCGATTGCGGTGGTTCAACTAACAACCCCCCCCCCCCCCTACTACCACCATTACGCTGTATTTAGATGCAACACGTTTGACCTTGAGCACGAAAAGGCCACCTTCAGTCCGATTGCACCTTCAATTCTGCCCTCTATTTGACTTTTAGTTGTGACCTCTATTTTACCTTCAATGCTGCCCTCTTTCACCGTCAAATCTGCCCTTTATTTCATCTTTAATTATGTCCTCTATTTCACCTTCAATGCTACCCTTTTTGAAGGCGGCGCACAGAACTCTGGTCTACGTGTCGCCTTGAATGGAATTGGCTTTTCGTTTAGACAACAGCTTCACCGCTAGACCTTTAGTGACCTTGTACTTGACGCATGCGCAGATCTCAAGGTCAAAGTGCAAAGCGGCCGCACTTCGCAAATTGCTTATGGCCCGGAACCCCAGTCACAATGACTAACTAATTGTATCTTAAGAAACAGTTTTGTATTTGCTAAATAATCAACTTCTTACAGCCACATTTTGCTGTTTAATGTTGATACCCATACAGAACCGAAATGGGTAAAAAATACTTCCGGCGCTCACTCATTGAAATGTCAAAAGTTATTGTTAATTGGCTATACAAGAGCCCCAACTCACTTTGTTGTAAATTGTTCGCCTATTTTGCCTTTAGTAGTTGGTTCTGCGCATGCTCACACAAATGACGCAGGAGGCGCAGCGTAGGACAAGTACGCATGAGTTGAATTGAAATGGCCAATTATTTAAAATTTTAATATAACTTTTAAGGATTCACGATGTCACTTTGATCCTGCAGTTAATGTAAAAACATTGTTCTAAACGTATCTTAATTGCAACCGGTTATCTTTTTCAGATGTATCACTCAGAATGGAGTTTCATCAATCCTTTAGTTGTACGCTTATTATATCATTTTGTTTATTTATTATATTGTTAACATTGCTTTCTATTTATTTGCATTCTAAGCCCTTAACTTGCATTTTAATTTTTTACTTGCCTTTTTCAGTTTCAGTGGTTTACATTTATGTGTAACATTACACAAAAATGAGCAAAAGTAATGCTAAAATTTTGACAAAAGTTAGTGCTTGTTTGTTGCTTAGATGTTTCTTCTGCGGTATCGCTTTGTTGACGCTTTGTGTCTTTGTAGACATTGGGACGAATTTCCTGCAGGAGGCCCTCCGCAGTACCAAAGAGCTCCAACTGAATATGAAAGACCGCCTCCGTACTACTTTCCTGGAACGTAAGTCGTTTTTATTTATGATTTTTATGTTAGAACGTTCTCAACGCCCGGCCACCGTCTTATATATCATCGAAAGTATAAGAGATATAAAAAAAAGTTTTATATAAAGGTTACTGTCTGATACGCTTAATTTAGAATTTATGTTAAAAAGAATTCAAGATGGCTACTTTTGAGGAACGTTTACCAACTTTCTAGGCGCCATATTGGATTTTTAGATTACCTATTTGATAGATTTTTTAATTCTCTTTTCAACGAGCTATCTTAACATAAGATTGAAAATAAGATACCAGTTATATCAACGGTTTTTATATTTTAATCAAGTAGTCTGTGACGAATTTAAAAAAAAACAAAACAAAATCTATTCGAGGCAACAAAACAATAATGAAAATAATTACATCAGATGTTTAAAATATCAGGGACGCACTCATGGGAAAGGGTTTGGGCGTTACAACTCTCTCCAACATTTTATATAAGTAGGGTTAGAAAAATTTTGACTTTTACTTACCTACAAAATGGTGGTATAACTACAAACTATCCCCTCGAAAAAATGTCATGCCATTATCCAGTTAAACACATTTTCACTTGACGAAGATGGAGAACCCCTTCCATGCACTCAAGAGGTCAGAGCTGCGGTTATAGGGGAAATTGCTACAACAATAGCATCTAAGGTAACTTTATTTTACCTGACTTTGAAAGTCATAGGAAGGAAGTCACAATGTTTTAAAAAGTTTCACTGTAACGTTCGTTAAATTCGTAAAGTTTGATAGTTTGCCTAATAACAGAGTTACGTTTTAATTAAAAAATCAAAGAAAACTTAGGAATATAAAGAAATCAGAAATTTTTTAAAACTAAATATTTTTTATTTTCTTTTCGCTTCTCCGGGCCACCGAAATAGGGAATGAGGGCCAGTGTACTAAAAATATGACAAAAAGAACGACTTTTTCACTGTTTTTGGACTCTCAGGCGCCATATTGGTAATTAGGCCCTAGGCATATGGCCCTGCAGAAGGTCCCCACATACTTAAGTGTTAACTGTACCATAGAAATAAATATTGGACGCCGACGACAGGCCAGAAAGAAAAAAAAAAGAACCAAAAACGACGAATTTTGCATTTTTGACGTTTTTAAGCGCCATTTTGGCATTTAGGCCAATAATATGAGCGCGAAAGTGTGCCTATAAAAGGCGTCGTCGTGTATACTAGGTTTGATTCTACCCGTAAAAGTACCCAAAACGTTCAGCGGTGTGCCTCGAAATAACCGAAAAATGGCAATTTCGGCCGCCCTCTTGGATTTAAGGGCTTAAATTCTGAAATCGGGTTTGGCAACAGGGCGCAACGTTTTCAGTGGGGTCGAATTTTTTTTTTTTTTGCTTTTTTCGGGGATCTAAGTCCATTTAGCGAAGGTAATATACTATGGGAAGAAACAAGGACACTCGCTTCTCGCCCAGAGGTATATCAAGGCTTTTTAATGACAATACTGTACACGACCATGGTTAACGAGGAATAGGGTGACACAGAGGATAAGACAGCGGAAAACAGAATTTTATTTGAATGTATATACCGTCAACCAACTCAAGAATCGCCTGTTGCCAGTTTGTAGCACAAAACGCCGTTAGACATGATTTAGAGAGCCTTTTTCAGAAATGTCTCCCTGACTATAAGGATCATTCAGAAAGACTTTGGACGAGTTTTGAATTATGTATACTTGATTAGGGAACCAGTTGTTTAATCACCTTTCACTGGGACCACCTTCCGACTACTAAGCTCATGGGTGTCCATCTCGACAAGTGTCTGTTTCGGGAGTAAGAGGGTGTGTAAGGGGGGGGGGGCAACATTTCGGACTCCTGGTTAGTTCAAAAAGTCATTGGTCTCTTGCGAAAGATCTTGGACTAATCAAAATCCTGTATTTTTTGTTGTTGTAGTTGTAAATTGAGTCCACGGTCTATTTATTATTCTACCATTGTTCAGGGAGTTTGCAATTTCTAACTCAGTTACTTTCTTCTTGTTTAGTCGAAAATTCATCCTGCAGTTTTTTTCTATTATATGACTTGTAGGTATTCCGGTATTCGTATGAAATTTGATACAGACAAATCTTTTTTATGTTAATAGAAAGTCTATGACATTTTTCTCATTGGCACTAGCTGTTTTTCAAGTGGCATCATCTACTTGCGTAATTCGTAAACAAAAGTAATTATTATTATTATTATTATTGCCTTTATTTTTGAGTGGGCGGGGTTTCAGCCAAGGCTGCTCTATCAACCCCACCCACTATACATTTACAAATATCCATGCCTGAACCCGGATTCGAACCAGGGACCCCTTAGCACCACAGTTCAGCTTTAACTGAACTGCGCCACACGGGCCGGAGTAATAGAAGCAGGTTTTGTATCAATTGTATCAAAGGCTGAATTCTGATACGATGCATATCCATTACCATACATCTGCGCCCTTTAGATATAAAATGTGTTTACTAAGTGGGCGTGGTCAGGTCATCAACATCATACGTAATTCTGTTGACTTTATGAAAACATTGAATAAGTAATTTATTCAATGATGGAAGTTGTGTGTAACAGATGGCTTGACCGATTTCCGAGCAGTACTTTGTCATTAGCCGCAGTCTTTTACGACTGTAGGCCTGGGAAATAAAAATTGAACCATCGTTCAACTTTTGAATTTTCAATCTTAGGTAAAATTTTGCATCACTGGCTTATACCTGGCATTGACTACAGCAATAATTTTCATATTTTAAAGAAATCAATATTTATCTTTTTTTTTGGTCTTGATCTATTTTTTTTGCTTTCGTAAAAATCATTTAAAAGAAACAGTAAGTACTCCTGAAAATTGACACCATCTTGCATACAAAATTTACCAGACGTGGATAATAAATCTCTTTATTCAGCTTGAATCCAAATTTTCATTTATGCTCTTAAGATTTGTTGCAATATTTGACTTTAAAATGTTGCTTAGTCCCAAAACACGTGTCGTTGTATTGCCCCACGCGGTATATATCGCAATGAAAATTCTGGAAAATACCTGGCGATATCTCTGAAACAAGAAATGCATCTTTAACTAGGTTTTCAAACGTCTTGGAAGTTTCGGATCGCATCCACTAGATGCTACACGTGTAACATAATCATTAAAGTCACTAAATATAGAAAGTACCGCAATCCATTGGGCTCGTGTGTTAGAGAGAGAACGCATGATTTATGCCCAAAAAAATGAAGATGGGGCCGCCCTCCCCACTATCCCATAAAAATCCATATTTATATTTACATTTATTTTTTAAGTTATTTTTATAATATCCAATTACCAGCTATTAATATTAGAAATTAAATTGAATTTGCCGCTAAAAAAAAGATTCTAGTAACTTGAATGTTAGGGATTGTTCCACCTGTTATCTGTATATATTTTTATAAAACATGACAGTACTATGAAGTTAGGTTATAATAAATTACAGCTATTCAGATTTTAGTTGTCAATTTTTTTAAGTTGGCAGCAAATTTTCCCAAAAATGGCGGATGATTGCGGTACTTTCTATATTTAGTGACTTTAATAATCATATTAATTAATTAATTAATTAGAATTTTTAATGTAACTTGTGGATCCTATTATGTTAGCCGGCCGGACAAAACTAATCGGCGTGCCGCATTTAGCCCGCGGGCATAGGGTTGCCCATGCCCAACCCACGCCTGGTGTAGTCCATAAATGCCTTTTTATCATTTGACACCCTGTAAGTTCCATCATTGTAACCATCTGAATGATTCATGAACAACAACAACATCAACATCCATAAAGGAATCCACCTTTGTGTCCTTCACGTGCGCACTGACTCCCATCTCACGAAGGCCTTCACGTTACAAATAGCCCTTGGCTACAAGACGTGCCTTGTAATTGTACTACCTTGTACACCCACCAACAGTTAATCACCTTCTTCTTATTATTATTATTATCAGCTGGTCTAAGAACTAGGTCCGTCATTGAGCACATTTACCTCCTCAATCATTGCCACTTTTCAATTTTTGGCATGAGAACTTTCAATGGCTTCGAATCCGCAGGTTCCTTTTCGTTTATACGAAAACGAAACGATCGAAAAGGCGTTCTTGCCTTTGTTCTGATCTCTGCCGATAAACTGAATGCAATTTCTCCCGCATTTCCTTGCTAGTTGTAGACATATGTATCAATTGCTTTACCTGAGTTGACAAAACTCAAGACAATAATATTCTGAGCTATATATTCAAGGTTCTTGAAGGCTTGCTTCTCCTTATCATACAATCCGCTAACCTTGAGCGTTGCATCTGTAGTCAGTTCAATGGATTGTGTTACCTCCTCCACTATGTCCATACAGCCATTTACATTCAACTGAATTTTAACTTGGAAGTTCCAATCAATCCAATTGGAATGTCCCTCCAAGGTAGCGGTACTATTGAACGCTCAGCTTTCGTTTTGCGCTCAACAACGCCTGCTATTTTCCCAGCGAAAATAATTTCCGCTTGAATAGTCGGCGGAAGATAGGAGTAAACTAATATTGTCATAAGCTTTGATACGATTGAATGCGCCCATTGTCACTGTTTTTTAGATGGCATTCATGACCTACTTGCTTACTTCCTAAAAAAAACAATAGGAAGCAGGTTTTGTATCAAGATGACAGACGCATATCCATTACCATTCATCTGCACTCTTTAGACATAAAATGTGCTTACTAAGTGGGCGTGGTTAGGTAATCAATATGGCACTTACTTAATTCCGTTTACTTTATGGAAGTGGGGTGCAATGGGTAGCTTGGCCGATTCCCGAGCGGTAGTTACTCATTTGCCACTTTATTGCCACAGCTACCCAGTCGAATTTAGCGGTTGCATCGTATGGTTATAGGAGATAGATAAGTGAATCAGAACACTAAGATCTATAAAAGTTCTCTTGATGTATAAGATCAAAATCTAAAAATCACATTGTACAGCAATAATATATTTTTATAAACCTTTATGATTATACAACATACTTTTTAATTTTATTTATTGTGTTTATTGATCACTGTGATTGCAAATTGGCAAATGAATTAATGAATTGATTTTCTTTTTCTTTTTTCAGGGAACAACAGTAAACTGTGGACTGACCGAAGATGAATGCATAGACTGATTAGCATTTTTTCTTTTTTATACATCACATTGAATTCATTCACCGATTTCGAATTTCTACAGCAGTATTTTTTTCGGTTCTGTTTAATTTAATAATAATAATAATTTAGGTAACGATCTCGAAACATTTCTTACTTTTTCATGTAAAGCGATTGCTCAATCCCTAATTCAATTAATTCCTCGCTCAATGTGAAGTCGAACAAAATCGCGGGCCTCATAAATTGGTTGTTAAAAGTTGAATGGTTACCACCATGTTATATTGAAAAATAAGCAAATATGTGATGTTCTCTATATTTTTGCACGATTATATTTGCAAACAAAAATTTTTAAATTTTTGATTTTCATTTGCAAAGACCAGAATGGGAACGACTTGCTTGCAAATATTGATGTGCATAGATATTTTCTTAAAAGTACCTAAGTAGGTACTAATGTATTTTATTAATAATGTATGTCAATGTTATATAGTGGAATTACGTAGTCGTCTCTTAGGGCTCTGCGGTATAAAGTGTTGTTAAGTATGCGGTTGTAAACGAACCACGGAAGTAGTTAAAAAAATGAACAGTTTTCTTTGTTTTGAGTTGCCTTTCTTTTTTAATTCACGAAATTCGTTTAGTTTTATTGTTGTAAGATGCAACTCTTTTTGCATTTGAGCGGCGATTGTTTACTGTATGTAATTTATTAGATCAAATTATCTATCTATAAATAAAATCATATGTAATTCCTTCCAAAATGTTAATTGTAAGACCGTTAGATATCCAAATATTATTATCATCTTTAAGAATTATGCTCAAGTAGATGTTTGGGTATTAAGAACAAATCTGCCATATTCTCTTCTGATGTATTTACCTAGTGGAAATTGTATTCAAATGTTTATATTAATAAATGAAAACAAAAGTTTGACTAGAAAAACTGTCCGTTATCGCGCATTCTCAAGATTGGTATGTCAAGATGCCTAGATGACAACTTTGATCGAGGAATTCTGAAGTAGTTTTGTTTCAATCAAATTTGTAGGTCTATCCTCGAATATAGGTGGATGATTAGTACATTTTAAGGCAGGTAGGTGGGGTCTGTTAATCGACGTTTCGATGCGGTTTACGAAGAAAATGGACACATAAAAATCAAGGTGCTGTCAGTTCTGCGCGGTAAAATTGTGTAATTATATTCCATCAATAGGTGGAGCCATTTATCAAATCGCTGCAAATGTTACGGGGTTTTTCGACAAGTAGTAAACCATGAACAATAATAATGCTCTCTAAAGGAGAAAATAAATCGTTACACAACATCCTACAGACGGACGTTTTTGTACGCGTTTATGCACGTGGATTCAAAAATGCAGATACATAAACGTGCACTACCACTGTCTATACAGACACACCAAATGGTTAATTCTGGCCGTTGTCAAAATTTTTGGGGTGTATTTATTTAGATGTTTTCGCTTTAAAAATCTCATAAATGATCATTTTTACAGCGGCGGCTGTTTGGTTGGTTTATACACTTCAATAATTTCAAGGTGTAAAGAGAACTATTTTGATTATTCGCTTTAGGACAATTAGGTTGCTTTGATAGAACGCTTCACATTCAAATTCAGTGGAAAAGGTGCCAAATATCGTTCCAAAAGTGCTTTTCTATACGCATCAACAATTGATCAACGGTGTAGAAGCCGGTCGACCTGTTTGAAAGAATTATTTGCGTTGTGCTAATGAAGAGGCAACCACATTATACACGGTGTCCATTTTTCGAGTGCCACTATGGGGATCTCACTTATCTTAAGAGATAGAAAGTTGGTTAAATTGGGGCAAAGTTGCAAATTTCCGTGCTGAATAAAAATCTGAAAAGAAATTTGAAATATCTTCAATAGTTTAAAAGATATCGCAAAAAAACGAAAATTTCTGATTTTCGTTTTTAATTTTTTTTTGATAAACTAATCGTAGTAGACATTTCTAATTGACACATTATTCGCACACTTTTTAATGGAGATTTCAAATATGGCATCTTGTTTTTAATTACTTTCAAGATGACGGAGGAACACGTGGCAACTTTAGTTTTTCATATGGGCGCCATATTGAATTTTGACATTTTGGGATTACGTCTTTTTTTCTCTTTACAACGATATATCACACATGGTGGTACAGTATCACATTTTTTCTAAAAATACAATTTTTAATTTTTTGAGAAGAGTGCTTTGCAAAAACAAAACGTTCTTTTGTTGTAAACAAAAGTTTGACAGTTTGATCCATCTGTCTGGTTGCAGCATTGTCGGAGAAGCACTCTTCTCAAAAAATTAAAAATTGTATTTTTAGGAAAAATATGATACTGAACCACCATGTGTGTGATATATCGTGTAAAGAGAAAAAAAGACGTAATCTCAAAATGTGAAAATTCAAAATGGCGCCCATAAGAAAAACTAACGTTGCCACGTGTTTCTCCGTTATATGGAAAGTTATTAAAAACAGGATGCCATATTTGAAATCTCCATAAAAAAGTATCCGTCTAATGTGTTAATTAGAAATGTCTACTACGATTAGTTTATCATAAAAAAATTAAAAACGAAAATCAGAAATTGTCGTTTTTTTTGCGATATCTTCAAAACTATTGAAGATATTTCAAATTTCTTTTCAGATTCTTATTCAGCACGAAAATTGGCAACTTTGCCCCCATTTAACTAACTTTCTATCTCTTAAGATAAGTGAGATCCCCATAGTGGCACTCGAAAAATGGACACCGTGTATACTTACGTACAACTTTCGTTAAAACGCCGATATTTAAGAAGAGTTTCCGTTCGAATAGAAGATTACTGTGAAAAGAATGTAAAATTGGAAGGAGGCCTTCGTTGTAATAATCCTCTCCTGATCAAGAGAAAGGTTAGTTTGTTTATATATAATGCGTACTTAAACTAAATTACGTTGGATTCTCTACACAATTATTTATATCGTTGCGGGGTAGGTATTCATTAGAATAAAGTTTCAAATTGTATATTGGTTTAGATTCAAATTAGATAATATTTCAATTAGGATGATTACATGTGGAATTGTTTATTATATTTAAATTTTTGCATCGGAAATAAAGCAGGCGATGTATATTACCTGCACTGGCAATAGTATTTATTGATTTGAAGATACCATTCAGGTAACGTATCGATTTTGATCAAATTGGCGCTTTATTTGAGGGCAATGTTTCCAAATTTATTATGATTGTTTCTTTAATTACTATATACCTAATATGCATTAACAGGTACCTATTTAATAGGCAAGTAAAAAAGGTAAGTTCATACAAGTTACTATCATATGGAGCAACTACAAGTCAACGAGTCATGATTGGCGTAACTAACGTGGAGGTATAGGTAATATTTTCAAACCTATAGGTACATTGTGAAACACAGCAATATTTCAACTCGTATAGAAAGACTCAGATATTGCATACGTTCACTAAATGTTTGCAGGTAGTGTACATGGTCTTCAAAACAAGATTTTACTATTGCTGTACATGATTAATGTATATTTCAATATTTGTATTGCACGTTCTTACCAATTGTTTTACAAGTGCGTAAATTACCTAATACAGTTTGATTGTTCGCTGTATCTGTTATATTCTGATTCGTGGCGCGCTGCAGTTCTTGTGCGTTAGCTATACGAAGGGGGGCTCTTTTATTTGATGTTTCGATGTTTGTGTGTGCGAGTCGGTCATTCTGTCTCCGTGGAGTCAGGAGTAGGTACCTAATGCAGTTCGATCTTTCGCTGTATCTGTTGCCTACTCGTCCCGTGCGGATTGTAGTTCTTAACATCTTAGCAATACGAGTAGGGGCCCTCGCATTAACATGTCCACTATTTAAAATATGTTCTGCTTGAGCGATAATCGATTTTCACATGAATACCTGCTATTGGCCGATGGCATTCTCATGTACTTTTTGTGTTAAATTAGTTTATGTTATCTGAAGGCTGGAGTAGAGCCACACCATTTACATGTTTCCTATGTACATGAAATTTATTTATTTTACGAGTTGTGTTATCGCAATTGATTGTACAGATATTTTGATGTGTTTTTGTACTGAATTGATTTATCATGTTTTCCACTGCATTTATGATATCTTGTGTATTTTGTTTTTATGAACTTGTTTAATTGCACTTGATTTGATTATCTGATTTTTATCATACAATTTGAGATGTTTTATTTATGTGTATTTTCTCTTGCATTTTATTACTGCAGGTGATTTTTTTCATGTATTTGTGTGGCCTATGCCGGGGTTTTTGTCCCGTAGAAGGTTTTCCCTGGCATGGTCTTGTTGTGTGCGTAATATATTTATTTCTTCTTGTCATTTCTTACGCACAAAAGTTCTGTCTTTTATTTAATTCCCTTCCCGATTATGTCTCACGTCCCAACACATAAAAGAACCGATTACACAACGTAGGAGTCCATTCGTGCCAGCCATATCGAGCCGACTGTCATCCAAATTCAAAAGTGCCGCGAAACGTCCATCGTTTCCACTTGAAAGGTAGGTGGCTCTGCTTGTAGTTACCAACGGTTAAGTATAGGGTAAGTCAACGTTTTCAGTGTCGGCTTGTTAGACCCCTAGGAACATTACAATGGGCTAAAAATGATTGCTTTTGACGCAAACCGTTTATTATGGGTAGGTAAAGGTATGTACTTCACCATCATTATCTACTGTGATACATACGATGTAGTTAGGAACTAAGTACTTACCTATATCTTTTTTAATAAAATGAATGTACGATAAGAAGATAAAAAATGAAGCAAATGCGATAAAGCTATCGAAACGGTTCATATCTAGGTGTCATTAATCATTTATTTTAGTGTATCCATAAGAGCCAATCGAAATGGATGGCAATCGAGCAAAAACGGTCTCCAAGTTGCGGAATTTCGCGTTTGCTTGTTTCGTTCTTTTCTTAAAGATCAATCTTGTCAACTCTAATAATCTCACTTCAATTAGTGTCAAAGCTCAATCTGGTGCCAATATCGACTTGAACGGACCTAATTATACAGATATCGGCAATGGGAACCACGGTCATAATTACAGCGAATATGACCCAAAGGGAATGGGCGGTTTTTATAACATGACCATCAACTTTATGAACTTGTTGGTACCTCAACAAATTTTTCCTGAAGGTAAGAGTGTTAGATGTAGGCAAGTTACCATATTGTACCAGATTTCATTACTGGCAGATTTTTTTTAATTGAACCGTTGATTAATCATCCCGTTAGAAGAACGAGCAGTTAGCACACCCAGGTTAATGACGCATCCTGATGATATTTATATGGTTGCATGATGTTATATTTTTTATGATCAAAGTATGGGAGTCGTTTTAGTGGCTTTTTTTTGTTTATGTAAACTGCCTATATTCTCTGTACAAAAACGAATTCAATACGTATTATACCTTGGTATACGTACGTTCCTGGAATTTGTTAGAAACTAAATTTTTATTTTCATATACCTAGGTAGATGGGGTTTATTTATTTTGCAAAGGACGTTTTCTTCAATATGAAATTGGTTGTTGGTAGTAAAACAAAACGGTCATTTTCCCCACCTACAACTCCACTATATCTAGTTATATCTTCATTCAATGGAGATTAATTTAAATTAAATACAATCCACATTAGTAAACATGGTCCTTCGAGCCGGATTTGAAGAAAACTTACTTTGGTACCACATATCAATACAAAAGATCATTAGCCGACCCGTAGGTATTTAAAGCAAATTTTGAACTCTCTATGTCCGCCCAATCGAAATCCAAACAAAGACTGATGGTCGGATTTATAGGTATCTAGGTACTTATAGCGCCGATTAAAAAAATTAGAATTGCCTGATTTCACGGATTACGCGTCTTGTACAGTTGGCTTTGAACAAATTAGACAAAGAGTGTTCGTTTAGGCAAAGAGTAACCATTTAGGTATTTCAAATCAAAAAAGATCGCTCAAACTCCCGACAATCTCTAGCACTCATCGTAGATTTTGTGAAATATCGATAAAACATTTGACATAGAAGCGCAGATAAGTTTTATCTTTCTCCTTAGTAATTGTGTTGGATTAGTTACGAATGTGTACATTTTGATTTGTTCAACGTTTAAGTACTTGCTTCGCGGGTTCCCCTAAGCGGTACTTCTAGCACAGATAAAACCACGGCGACCGTGGATAAAACTATGACAGTTTTATTGTAGTGTGTAATGCCCGCCTTATCATAGATTCCGCGAGTCATTCACATTATTTTACCCTAAACATGCCGCTAAAGGAGGTGTCACAAATAAGGTGTTGCCAAAATATCGGGACCTTGTCACTTTTGTAACAAAGTGGTCGCTTTCGGTCTGTAATGATTTTGGTTTTTAATTTAATACGTGTGCCTTTCCACAATGAAAGAGAACGTAACTAATATACGGGACAATGAGGCGCGTTTAGATAAGGAACGAGTGTGTAACAGATAGGAGCCGAAACGCCACAGTGTTGCCGGTTCAAAAAACGATCCGTACGGAGCATGAGGGACATGCCCGTTTGCACCGACAAATTTAAGGGGACCTTAGCTTAAGCGTCGCTTAAAATCCATGGCAACAATTATTGAGACAATGGTTGCCATGGATTTTAAGCAACGCTTAAGCTAAGTTCCACTTAAATTTGTCGGTGCAAATCGGCATTATTACTCACTTCTATACCTTCACATGCATAAAAAGACATATCCGAAGCTTGGTTCTCGATGGAGTACTTGAACGCGTCATTTTAGGTCGCGTAGCAAAGCTTCTTCGTTGAGCCTTCGAGGAAAAACTACGTAACTCGCGTATTAGATTCTTCGCCAAACTTTCGAAGCGAAACTATATGAGTTGAGCGGGGCATTTTGAGATCACGTGAAGATTCATTTTCAATTAAAGGTTCGAACCGAAATCCGTATAACCCCATCAGTGTATGAAAGAATCGTCAGCCGCGCAATCGTATGTGTTTTTTTGCGAAAGTTTGCCAGGTGATGCAGTAGGTCCTATCATAGAAATCCAATTTTCTGAATTTCGGCTACGTTTCAAAAAGAAAGAAAATTTCGATGCATCAATAAATGTTAGTTAATTGAAGTTTTTGAATGTATAAAAATATAGGGATCCATCGTTTTGTGGATTTTGTAGAATAATTTATGCTTAAACTCAATTTAATATTCCTGAAGAGGTCGACCCACGGAAGTTTATTCCGTGAACAGATTTGTATATTTTTTATTAATGATAAGCGGACCTAAGCAAACAATTTTTGTGATTTTTTCTTATTAATTGTGAAGTTCATTTGATGCCATTCCTTTGTGTGGGTTAAAATTTTATTTATTGGTGAATCGCAATTCATATCGCACATAAATTTAAACAGAAGAATTTTTTCCTAGCAGGGTCCCACCCCTGGAACAAAGAGCTGGTCTCTCGTTCGGGAAATGCCCTAGTAAAGATGATATCCGAGAACAACCACCGTCTTAGATGTCGCAACTAATTTAGTTACAGTATTCCCATCCCTGAAATTGTTTCTTCACGACGAGAAGTTTAGTTTACATTCGATAATTTTTATATACTATTTAAATAAATGACCTAATAATTAAACTTTGAGCCAAAATCATGCAATTGAAAAATACGTCATAAATTGATCAAGAAATTTTCAAATCACATGCCGCTTTTGCATGGACCGCCTCCTTCGTATCGACCACCGATTTAGCTTTGCCGTTTTTTACATGATTGATATGGGTTGCATGTCAGATCATAGATCGCATTTTTGACTGCCACCACTTCTGCATGGATTGTCTTTTTCGTCTCGATCACCGGTTTAGCATCTATTGCCTTTTCGATCGTAATAGTAATAGAGAAGAGCTACTCGCATATTTCATGAATCGCATTTTCCGAAACACCTGCAGCCTTTCCAGGATTGCCTTGTAAGTTCTTGGGGGTTCCCCAAGCCACGGTACTGTAATATCGTGACTTACCCTATACTTGCAGTTGGCAACTCTGGGGAAGAACAATACAGGGTGACAGATGTTTCGCGACACTTTTAAATCTCGGTAGCAGTCGACTCGATATGGATGGCACAAATGAACTCCTACCTTGTGTAATCGGTTCTTTTATATGTTGGGACGTGAGATACAATCGGGAAGCGAATTGAATAAAACGCAAAATTTTGCGCGTAAGAAAATGGCAACAAAGGCTAGAATAGTTATTTACCTAACAAGTTCGGTAAGTTAATTTTCCCGCATGAGCACTTTGTTTGCAGCACGACCGTAGGGAGTGCTGCATTTAGTGCGAATGCGGGAAAATTCTTTCCGAAAGAGTTAGGTACAATATTTTTTGTAACGAATTGCGTAAAAAAAGGTCAAAATTAATAAAGTTTTGTAAATTAGTTTTTTTTTTAATCATGAGTTGGTAACACGGCGGTGCGTATTGCTGAATTGTTCGCAAAATATAAAACTACCCCACGCCATTGTTTAAATAATTACTTAAACAATGCCCACACTCACTTACAAGTGGTCGATTTGATTTTTCTTGCCGCTCGACGCGAACGTCTCACGACTCAACGCGAATTCCCTCACGGTTCTCTCGCAGCACAGCCAACTTCCCACCACTTTATTTTTGAGTAATGCAACCTTTTTCCTCCAACAAAAACTAAGTTTTTCGCCCAATCAGAAAGCTAAAATCTTTCCTCTTCTGCGGTAATTTGATCTTGAAAGCAGCAATAGGGTTATATGTGATGTAGCACCATCTTGTTGAATCACATTTCTTCATGTCCCACTTTTTTTTCAATTTCAGGTTCTGTTGAGGTGGTAAATGGAGAAGTGATAGTAAATGAATTAAAGCCGCTGTTGTCACATTACGCGTCCTTACTTGCGTTTGTAATAATACTCTTAGTCATCGGTATTTGTATGCCTTTATGCGGATTATGCTTCTGGTGTTGCCGTTGCTGCGGAAACTGCGGCGCTAATCCAAAACCGTTGGATAAAAATGGAGATCTCAGCAAAAAGATAGGCCTGGCCTCCGCGCTAGTCGTGCTTGGAACACTGTTGTTGTGAGTATCAATTCATTAATTAATCAGATGTTAATAATGGTAATGCAGGTTTGGAGTAATTAGTGCGTTTGTGAGCAATGAGCAGTTGCAGGAAGGAACCGTCCAATTACCTAACAATGTAACAATCACGGTCAGAGATATTGATGTGTACATACAGTCGACATCAGATCAAATCAACATTTTACTTAAAGACAATTACAAGGAACTGGAAGGTGTTCTTGTCACTAATTTGGATGGTAAGTGATCGAATGGCTGTAGATATGGCTAATTGGAATCTAGATTGCAGTGCTATCCTTGCCGATCAACTCGAAGAGATTTCAAATGCGACAGCTTTAACCGAAGTAGTTAAAATAGTCGGCAGTTTGGATGACATTCGCTCAAATCTCACCTTTCTGCAGGGAGTCACGGAAGAGATGCCTAAAAAAGCGAACGAACTCAAGGACGGTAAGAGACGCTGGCTGTTTCTTTATTTATAGGTAGTAATTCTTGGTTCTTTTCAATAGTACTGCAAAATGTGAAAAATAGTTTACAGGAAACCTTGCAGAAGTGTTCACAGAAAGAGTGCGCCGATATGCTAACACAGCATGTGAATCAACTTGGCACCGTTACTGATTTTGATTCGGTAAGTATGGCTTTCAAACACACTGTTGTATGTGAGTAGGTGACCAATGTATGTTCTGTATCAGGAAGTGACGTCACAGCCAATCAGAGAAGAGCACGCTCTCGTATGCCCCTCCCTTTCAGGTTCGTGAAGCGGTGCAATAGCTTTTCCACACGTTTCAACGGCTGTGTGAACTAGTACCAGGTCTAAAATATGTTAGACCGCTTCACGAACCTGTTGAACTAGTTGAAAAAACTGTTGGATCGCTTTACGAACCTGGAAGAGAGGGGGCGTAGCAGGACGTGCTCTTCTCCAATTGGCTGTGACGTCACGACCTCGTTTCTGATTGGTGTGACGTCACTTCCTGGTCCAGAACACACATTGGTCATCTACTTATGTGGAACAAAATTGGGTAGCAAAATAAACCTGTACACAGGTCAGGTCATGATGACTAACATGCGCATGGCAGGACACCATACAAGTGCACCGTACAGTATTATAGGCCTTATCACTACAGTGTAAAGCCAATATACCAGCCGAGGATTTATAAGCCACGCCATGTACAGGCAAAAGCCCTTCTACATGCCCAAGGACATGTGGCCTTTTTGCTTATTTGCTCAATGTGCCCTTTCCAGGTCAGGCGGGAGTGTATATGCTAACTCCCAAATTTGCGCAGTCACAGATTTGCCCGTTTTCCAAATATGTGGAGGTAACATTTTCACCGTGGCCAGACAGAAACTGGGTCAGATGATAATCAACTTCCTCGTATCCCCTATTTGTCCATTCCCCGACATCCCTCATCAATCCTCGTAAGCCTCATCGGTAAATCCCTGTGGAGGGCTTTTCTTTCCTGGCTTTTTCGCGACGATCTGGTAACCCCTTTCCCACGCCCCGCGGTCCAATTCGTTGCACAGCCATCTCCCCGCCGTTGTTTTGTTTTAGTGATGCCAACTGGCGGTAACCCGTCTATCACCATGGCGTTGTCCCGGTGTACCTTACGGTATCTGGTCCGTTCTGGCGGTCACCACACCTCACCCCCTTCGTAGTCTCGTCCTCTCGTTTTTGATGAGGTGGTTGTACTCGTCGGTGACGGTACTCCCACTCCCCTGGCCATGCTGGAGCTGTTACAATTTCCTCCGCCCCGCACTCGCGCGCTCTTTGAACGGCTAGGTTTCCGTTTCCCTCGGACTAGTTGCTCCCTCCTCGCTCACGTGTTGTGCCAGAATGCATCGCACCTCTCCTGTTCCGCGCAAGTCACACTCACGCGTATCTCCACACCGGTGACCTTCGCTGCATCGATTTCTTTTTTTTCTTTGTGACGTAATTACACCTCCTAGTGTACGCCCTATGTAGCACTCCGAGACCTGGGGCCAGCCCCTCGCATCTTCGACATGTGACTTCCAGCTTACAGTTCCTCGCGTAGTGCCCGGAGTTTTCGCAATTGAAACACTGATCGCTGCGGCCTTTCCATTTACATTGGTCCGAGACGTGTCCTGACTCCCAGCATCTATTGCAGCGTATCTGGTCCACGTTAATTTGAACCCCGCATGAGGTCAAGCCCACTCGCAGGTATCTCTGCCCGGCTACTACCTCGGCTGCCTCTCTGTTAAGGTGAACGAATGCCACCTTCTGCCCCTTCACCACCGTGATAAAATTTTTTATTCTGCATCTGGCATTGGGCTTGATTCGCAGCAGGGCCTCCAGGTTCCTAACTGAGAGACCGCACAGTTGTCTTTTAAACGCGCCATCTCTCTGCCGCTAATGGCTACCTTGATCTTGTTGAGCTTTTCCCACCACTTTCTCTACCCGGAGGAGGATATCACCCTTCCTGTTCTTCGTTACACTTTCAATCTTAGTTGTCAGCCCCGGCATTTTCGTTTGTCTTATGTTCCTCCACGTGATTGCCCCCTGTAACTTCACGAGCACCGTCTCCGCCCTCGGGGGTTATCGCCTTGTCGAATGCACTCACTCTCGCTCCCGGATTTGGGTTTCTTAGTCCTCTTTCTCCTCCTGTGTGTTTCCCATTCCCGTTTCGGACCCTGACTCCTGGTCAGTGGCGGTCTTCTCTACTTTCTTCCTCTTTGTCTCGTCAATCTCGTCGGTTCTTTCTCTCGTGTGTGTGGGAACCTCCATCCTCCCCAGACTCCCTACTGGTCTAAGTTGGGCCCGTTCCTCTTATGCTTCGGCACCTCCCAGTGTTGCCGTCATAGTGTACGTTCCTTTCTGTGGCCTTTTTTCCAACGACTTAATAGGGTTTGTGACCATATCTCTCGTGCTTAATAGGTGCCATGCCTATTGCCGTATAAGTTATGCACCCTCCCCTCAGGTGGATGTCCACTTCCACCTTTCAGGCCACCCACGTACTTGGACCACTTGTTTTCGACCACCAACGGAGAATTTCCAAATTGTAAAAGGCTTCGCTGATTTATTCTGTTGGTTGACTGTTTCACGAAGGTGACTGATTTGCACCTCCGCCACCAGTATCGCCTCCTCCGTCTGCATTTTCCGGATATCTCACAGCTCGTTCATCGACGACTTTGGGGAAACGATAACCGTATCTTCTACATCCCTCTGCTCATTCCAACGTTTTTGTCTCTTCTCTTTAGAGACAAGTCCGTGTCACTGACGCTCCCACTCTCCATTTCGCCTCTTTTCCTCCTACACTCAGCTGGTATTTTCGGAATAATCTCTTCGTCCGTCGTTTTCCCTACCTCCGACCTTTGAATATAAAATTAGGAAGAAGTCTAGCCTAATGGGAACTTGTGGTTCCGTGACAATCGGTGGAGAGGTAAGGTGTACCTCTCCCACTTTTATAATAATATAATCGGTTTTAGAGCGAATTTATGCTCCGAATTGCGTTTGCACTGAAGATTTCAATACTGTAATCTTTTGTTGGTACGTATAATAGTCGCGCGCACTTTAAATGAAAACGCTGCCGATACCAATTGGGATACACAAAATTTTATAGAACAAAAATTAGAGACAATTAAATGTACTACAAAAAAGTCCGCGACGGCATATATCTATCTTTAATCGTTTAGCCATATCAACCATTTAAAGTTGCGCATCTTGATTGCGTTGGCATTCATAGTATCTTTGATTGCTTATCATATATTAAGGGTTGAAGATACATATATGCCATCGCGGACTTTTTTGTAGGAAATTAAATTCTCTACAATTTATCTTTTATAACTTTTTTTGTATCTCTTTTTGTTTTCTCAGCGTTTGTAAAAAAATGTACGCACATCGTAATTTTGAATAAACTTTTTAGTTAAAAAAGAATCTGGCGTAGGTACGACTCGAACCCTTGACCTACATGTTGTTATAAATTTCAGGTGCTTTTGGGGGTTCCGGTTGGGATGATCGAAGCGTTGTAAAAATTGAAACTGTCGTTATTTTTTTGACATTCTGCTCAAAGGGCAAGAGAAATATGCGAAAATGGGAAATGAAAAAAAATGATGTTCTTATTTTTATTTTTATTATTAGTGCAATTCACATATTATCGAGCTCCTTGCGGTATAATAAGGAAGGCCCTTTTGACATCTCCGTGAGTTATGAACTGAATTGCATGAAATTCAATATGGGCATAGCTTTAGCAATGCAAAAGCAATGGCAAAAGTTGAGCCTAATCAATTCAAAATGCATAGTGCTCTTTTGGTATCTCGGCCATATATGAACCGAATTGCAAACTTTTTTTAATTTATAAATGTATTTAAATGACATTTGATACATATGCACTTGGAATAAAAGCAAATGTAACGCCATTTTCAAAATTTGGTTTTGCACATGCGCAGTGCCAACTTATTTATTTATTTATTTATTTATGAACATAACAGGTTACCCCAATAACAATGTTCATGTATTGTTAATAAAAAAACTATTCGAAAACATAAAGAATATAAAAAATATATGTTAAGTTAAGAATATTAAAATAAAAAAAAAACAAAAGAAAAAATGCTGTGAAAATTTTTTTACAGTCCTTGGATATTGTCACACGATCTTTCAAATTGTCTTAGGGACTTATAAAAAATATCTATGGTGTTCTTCCATAAACGCACACTATTATAGAACGCATTTTTGAAATTTTATACATATGCACTTGGAATAAAAGCAAATCTAACACCAGGTTCAATTTGGTTTTGCACATAATATAGCCATACCCAAGAGCTCTTTGCTATATTTTTTACACAGTTATTTTTACCCATACTAATAATACACTATCAGAAGGGCGCGAAGCAAAGCCCTATAATTCATCAAAAGTACGGTTTGGGCTGGATGTCATTTCACTCAATAAAACCAAATGTACTCTATGTAAAAAAATCCGCTGAATCTGAAAATCATAATCCCCTGGCCGGAAACTCTCGAAATATATTGTTATACAGAAAAAACGAAGAAAAAAATGGGAAAATGTTTTTTTTCGCATTTGACTGCAATTATCTCGTTAACTATCGCCTCGAGTGAAAAAATGAAGAGAAGTGATATTTTTTATGATCTTTTCCATTTTTTTTTCCGGTGAGGTATTCAAGTGAATTTGTTTGGAATCGAATTGTCTATGTAGACCATACATTTAGTATGGAACGTTCATTCTTAATTGTTATTGTTTTTTATGGAGAAATATAAAAAAACGCATTTCCGGAAATTAACAATCTGTTATTACTGAGTAAAATTCATCCGATCTTTTTGAAAATCCGTATTTGGTCCCTTCTTTTGATAACAAAACAATACGACAAACCCGATCACCGTAAGTAGGTATCATAGCCATTGATTAAATAAACAAACAAATTGGATAACTCTCATAGCGTTCTAAATTTTTGTACAGATGGTGGAACCCCAAAGTAACCTTTTCCAAAAGTTGTCTCGATGATTTCTGCAAATTGACGGACGGATTTCGACGTATTTTTTTTAAATTTAGGTACATTTTCCGAGAGGTTTCTGTTCGCCTATTATGGAGTCACATTTCTTGTTATATTTCGGAAATTATTCCATTTGTTAACTAGCAAAAGTCTTCGGATTTTGAAAAA